AATATTTGTTTGAGAGGAGGAAATACTGACCTATGATGCATTGGCTGGCTTCGAGTCATTGCGTAGTCCAAATATGCATCCACATGCTAATGCGATACTTGATGGAAGCCGAACTCGCGCCACGTTTCAAAATGGAATGATCAACAAGAACGCGCATCCCATCTTATCTCGCTTTATCTTATCTTATCCATTTATCCGCTTATTTCCCGTTATTTCCATGGAGACCGTAAGAAAACGTCAAGGACATTAGGAGCACATTCACTTAATAAAGTAGATCACGGAATTTGAGGCACTGAAGCAAATCCTAGGACCTGAGTGTTTCATACCGTGAGTTCTTCAATGGTGCTAGGGACCAATGTGCACACCCATTACATTTTTGACCTCATCCAAAAGTCGAGCTACTGTTCGAAGAATTCCCAGAATGAGATTCAATATAGGCTTCTACCTGCTGTTGCAGTGGCAAATGTTCCATCGAAACTTTTTGATACATTCACCGAAAATAGTAATCGCTTGAGAAGGTCAAGCAATTTCCCGGAAGGTAGCGCAGGTCCAGAGTTGTTAGCATTTTAACATCGGGGATCGGTCTTCCTCCGGACATGGTATTTGCCCACGACGATAAATCGGTTACGTTTACTTGCTGCCGGAATTGCTAGCACTGGGGGAGTGGTGAGGGGTGTAGTTCACCGGGACAGGGAGCGACTTTTTCGCGTTTCGCAGCGCGAAACATTTTTCGCTGCGGAACCTAGGTCCACTCATGATCAGCGGTGGACTGGGGTTCCTGCAGCGAAAAAACTTCGCGCTGCGAAAAGAGAAAAAGTCGCGTTCTATCCTAACGACTCACACCCCTCGCACCAACGCCTAGTATAGCAATCCTCGATGGATACATCGAGGCACGGGACGAAGTTGACGAAGATTAGCAGCGCAGCTCAGTCAACTGCCTGCAGAATGTTACTGTGTTGTCGTAAAAATCAAGGGGGAGACCCGAACAGTGGCCAAGACGGTTGGAACGATTGCTGCAGTGCACGTGCTAAATTTTTTTCTGCTGCTGTTCTCCTCCCGAACTGTTGACAACGAATAATGGGGAGCATCTGCGTAAGAAAATGAGTGAATGAACATGCTGACATGGCTGCTATCAAATGGTATTAATCGTTTTCAATTTGCCAAGAACCACTGCCAAAGTTCACTCAAATTCGAGATGAATCTAAGATGCCGTCGGCGTAACCTTCAGAAATCGAGGGATGGGATTGCCACGTCTGGTCTGAAAATAAGCCCTCGAGCCCTGTCGGTGTTCGAACGCGTGTTTTCTACACTGCTCTCGGAGGTCGTTGGTCTTGCTGCTGGGAACTTCAGGTGCCAGACATACATCGAAGAGATATCTCTAACCGGGGATCAGAGCTGCTTGAATGGCCCGGGTGAGTTTTGCGAAAACGTGAACAAGTCTTCACGACAAATCCATGGTTCCTTATATTGTAAGTTCTCATTGAAACAGCATGACAATTTAATGAGGCAAAATGATTTCGGCTCCTACCAAAAGATAGGGAATGTCGAAGACAATTACACTTACGAAAATTTTCTGAAAAGTAACGCACGGAGATGGTGTAGTGGCAAATGGTAACACTCCCATGAGCACGGTCAAGGGTCAAACATAGGATCAAATCCGGGCAGGTCAAGTGAGCTTCCATCTCCCGGGGTCGGTCAATTGGTACCAGACTTTTCTGATCGTGGGTGAAAAACTCTGGCTTGTGCATCGACTAGCTCGCAATTACGCGCCATACCGCATTCAAAATGCCACTACGATTCTGAATGGAAGTATAATTCGTGGCGCATTCCAAAAAGGTTCGTGGCGTATTCAAAAAGGAATGATCATTAATGAAAACTTGAAACCTTCCAGGAGAAATTACATAAAAGAACAGAAGTTTCCAAAGCTTCTCTTGAATAATTCCTTGAAATGGCTCCTAGAGAGCAGGCTTCGGTACGTATATGTATGGATATAAAAATTAA